ACACTATTGATCTGTTACAACACCTTCCTTGTAATCAAATGTTCAATCAAATGATTTCAATTGAATTAGGACTTAGACTGGCCAGCTGATGTGATTAATATTAGCTACCACACTGCCAAATTGCTTCATGACACTCGTGTTTTCTTTATGTTGAACAAATGCAGAATATACCACCCAGCTCTAAAAACTTTATCTGAAACTACATTTGCCTAAGCTCAACTTGAATTTCTCAATTTCAATGTTTTCAGATTAAACTATTAAATAATCTAAGCTATAAGAAACTAAGATGAAAAGATGTTTTGCTTTTAAATATCGTTTGTTAACTAAATTACAATGTATATTTATATTGTTTGTTTTGTGACTTAAATATTTGTGTTTGTCTTTAACGAGATATATTGCTTAGATGTTTCATTCAAAAATATAGAGCTCAAGGTTTGTGATAACATATTACGGAGAATTAACCCTAAAGCAAAATACATTCTAGATGAGAAAACACTGCCCATAAAGGACAATAATCCATTATTCTATGATTTCACATTTCAGGGTGATGATCTTGAATCGTCTTAGTTTTAAGTAAAATATCCTGTTTTTATACTTAAGCATTTAGTACTTCAATAATAATTTTAAAAGTTAAAACAATGAAGCTAATAAGTTTAAAACAGCTGACAAACATCTCATATTTGTAATGTTGGTTTAGAATTTGTAATACTATGGCATGTCTTTTTCCCTCATTTAAATAATAGAAAAATTTTAGAATTGTTTTGTTTATATGTAAATGAAATACAAATGTCTTTGTGAGTTTTGAAATTCCTTTATTATTTGTGATATGGTTTTTTTTTTTTGAGATGGGGTCTTGCTATGTTGCCCAGGCTGGTCTCAAACCCCTGGACTCAAGTGATCCTACCATCTTAGCACCTGAGTAGCTGGGACTACAGGTGCCCCCACTTCACCTGACTCTGTGACATTGTTAATTTAAAGTCATTTGTTAAATAGGCTTTCATTCATAATTTTATAATTGAACTACTTGTTTATGGTTTTATTAGTCCTATCCAAGTTTAGAAATTTATTCAGTGCCTGTCAATATAGGGAGCATACTGTGAGTGATTCATTAATATCAACACTGAGTTACTGGACTCAATCGATGGAAGAGATAAGACAACTAAATCATTACCATGCAACCCTTAAAAATCCAGATGTGTGGAGCTCTGTAATGGTAACTCTGACGCCTGACAGAATTCATTTCCTCCGAGCTTACAGTACTAATGGACTGCCCCACCCCCCCACTTCCTATTAGTCTTCTGGTAAAGGATAACCAAATGATAACTTTCAACTCTTTGACTTGATCTAGATGTCAACCAACTACCTACAAGTACTTTTCTGACAGGACAGCTAGGCTTTTATAAAAGGTGTCTATTCCCAGCTTGGGTAGTGCTAACAGTAAAGGGTAGGCAGAAGAATGCAATTAAGGCAATTGTTTTAAGTTAGAAATAGAAGCCCAAACAAAGCTGTATTTAGTAGCAGCCCTGAAAACATTCTTCCCATCGAGGACATTACTGTTTTTATCACACACAAAAATTAAATTAATACTGAGGTATAATTGGTGATGACAGAAAAACAAAGGCCTGGTTTGAAAAAAAAAAAAAAAAAGTCCCTTAACAAGAAGAAACCTGGGCACAGTTTTAAGATCCTGTGTGCTGCAGGCAAAGATAAATGGGCTATACCTTGCTAAAACAGTAGCCAGGAGATACGGTCAAACACAAAACTTCTGCAGGCTCCTCAGAGAGAAGCATTTGCTAAAGTCATTTTCTTCTCATAAAGAGAATACATTTTTCCTATGATATAATCAATCTTCTGGCACGTGGCTTTCCCTTCTATTCCCAAATTGAATTTGTTTATATTATTTCCCCTTAGAATAGAATATTCTGTTCAATAGGATTATGATGAGAATATTCTGTTCAATAGATTATAATTATCATGATTTAAAATTTTTTAGTTGATATTTTTAAAAACTGAAAAGAAACAAGTGAAATTAAATAAGATATTTGATTTAGCCAATATATCAAAAATACAAAATATTACCATTTTAACATATGATCATGATAAAAATCGTTAATGTGTAGTTTACACGATTTTTTTGATGACTCTCCAAAACCTGGTGTGTATTTTATAACTACAGAACATCTCAATTTGGAGCAGCCACAAAAGGCTCAGTAGCTCGCGGCTGCTGTATCAGACAGCGCAGGTCCAGAGAAACCTTTTTCCTCAAAGACTTGATTCACATATTTTCTTCTTGAAATCTTTTCTCAGCATATTCTGAGGAAATATACAAACTATTTATAAGTGTTAATATTGGACAGCACGAACCTGAGCTTCTATGAAGTCCTTGCATACTGTTTGCTTAATATGGCATTAATCATAATTTTGAGCAAAAAAAGCAGCTCTCAGTGGTCCAGCAATTTGAGCTCAGGTCTTCTAGCCAATACTTGTGCATTATTCAATTTGTTCGGTGTACTATAGACTGTTTCACTGGAGTGTGTTTGGCTTAATTCCTCTAAAAGTTGAGGAACACACAGTAATAATCACATAATACAGAAAAGTTCCAGAATATGGGATTATTCTACACTTACAGTCTGTTGAGTGAAAAGTTATGAATTAAGGTAAAAGCTCAGTGTTTCAGTGATTTATTTTCTATTTCATGTATCATAATTGTCCCAATGACATTACTGATAGAGTAGTAATGATCCTCAGACATATCTGGAATCTACCCCATGAGCAGCTGGCACTGACATACCAGTGATGAGGATGAGTCAATTATTCAGCGTATGTAGCACTATGTTATAAGGTGCTTTACAGGAGACACTGGGACAAACACGTGTCAAGACACTAGCACATTCACACAAGGTAACAAGTAAGAATGCAGTATGGCACACAGAGCAGATGCTGTGGTTGTCATGGGAAGTACTCACTTTTTCTGATCATTCTGCTTCTTTTTGGTTTTGCATGCCACTGATGCATAGCAGGGAAGAAGCCACTTGTGTATAGTGGAAAAAGTATATCAACTAATAATACTGCATTTGACTGAGAAATAATTGTATCAGAGCTGTCACTGAATTAATTCTGTAATACTATCAACACAACAGGTGCATTACATTTTATCAATCAGAACTCTGTTTGCTGTTTCATAAGCTGGCCAGTATGCAACAAGAATATGATGCATTAAATGAAGCATTCTATCATCTTCATGCAGTAAACTGTAACTAACACCTCAGAAACAGTTAATGCGACATTAGACAGGGATAAGAACTTGGTACAAACAAATGTTCTGAATATGAGAAAATGGAAATAATCACAATTTCTTTTCCAAATAAAAAATATCATTTTGCATTAAATTGTAAATGAAAGCTTAGGTTATAATGGTAATTTGGACATGTGAAAAGATCATCGGAATGTAAATAGCAATGCGTGATTTTGTGAAAAAAGAATCTTGGGTACTGGCGCCTGGCCTAGATTGTGAAGTTTTGAGATGACATGTCACAGTACAACTGGGTCAACTGCAGATTTGGTCAGGTCGTACCTACCGTTGTACGGCTCTGCCCTTCAGCAAAAATGTCCAGGAGTTCCCACCTCCCATAGCATTCACCTGAGAGTGTGGACTTAACATTTTGGATACTTAACAGAGTATCTAAAGGTCTAACTCTGATAGACAGGAGATCAGCATAAAACTCTATCTGTTTTCCTACGGATATTAAGTGAAGATTGAGGAATTTGGTAAATATCAAGCAAATTTCTTTCCAATGATTACTATGTGTTATAGGGAAGAAGCATCTCTTCTTTTGGGATAAAACAACTGAAAACAGGAAATTTATCCCAGAGTCCTGGGAATCTTTAATAACTTTAAAAATTATTTAGTTTTGATGTTATATGTTATAATTTTTATAACTTACAACATAGTACTTAGAATAAAATAAAACCACATATGTTGGCAGCAGCTGGTGATGAGATCTGCTGATACTCTAAAAATAAGTTGCCATAATTTAGCTTTTGACATAAATGCCTTCCATGAGGACTGTGAATGGACATTGTTTGAATTCCAGGCATGTTCATATAATCGGAACTGAATCATATAATCGGAACTGAATGGAAAAAATGAAATGTTTAAAATAACAATCTAATCTAAATTATAAGATAAATGCAAGTAAAAATATTTTTCATTTGCGATTTTAAAACTGGTATTCCACAGAGTGGTGATGAGTACATTATACATATTTATGTAGATTTTACAGGGTGTTTCAAAAGTCCCTGAGGACATATAGGATTTACAGTCTCAACATCTTTGCATATAAATGCAGACTTTTTTTCTCTCCTTGTTATAATAAATGCTGAAAATGGCTCTCATGTGCTTATAATAGAGATGACATTTTTGTTCTCAAGGTCACTGAGTATAAGGGGTCGCAAATGCCATTTTCTGCATGGAGACTCAGGGACTTCTGGCCCATTCCTGTAAATTAGTTATCCACATAAATATGTATAGACATATATGTAGCACGCATAGCCACAACATAAATATATTTAACATTTAAGAAAATTTAGATATTCTACTGGTAAACTGACATATGTATACAATATAACTTGTATTTATTCCCAGGAATTTGTTTTTTTTTTGTTCAAATGTACTGTTAGCTTGTTATTTCTTTCCCAAAGTTGTTAACAAGACTCCTTTATAAAGAAGCAACATGTTTTACTTGCACATACATTTTCTTTCTGTCTTAACTAAAGTTGAGTAATAAAATTAATATTCACAAATAAATAATTAGATGGTGAATTTTTCTTTTTTTTTTTAGCAATTTTGGTTTTCATCTGTATTTGTAAAATTGTTTCATTGAAACTGTCTTTTAAAAAATTGGTTCAAGAGTTAAAGTTTTTTTTTCTAGTTAAAAATCACAATGTCTGATATATTAACATATGTCAGCTTCCTACAGGAATCCTTTGGGTCTGCCCACCTGTGATGTCATAGTAAGGAGGGGCTTTTCTTCTGCAGACTCCTCCCTCGGTATCTCCTTCATCACCATGGCAACAGCCTTATCTGCCGCCCTAGAGCCTTTTCCCTATAACAGTGAAATCAACAATGACTTGTGTCAGGAGAGATCTTTATTATTTATTACAAGATATTCTAATGTTTAAAGAGCAATCCAACATAAAGGAAGAGGTAGGCTGCTGCAAGTGAATCTTGAGGCTTTTGGCTGAGGAGAAAACACACAAAATCTGAAAAAAGATTACTGAACTTTTAGTTAGCTACCTTTTCACCTTTACAGCTGACATATTACATTTAATTTTAACATAGTATTTTATATGTATAATATGTTTTAAGGAAATTAACATGGCATGAACGTTTTTATATCAATTTAAAAACACTATAGGTTGCCTGTTACGTTCATTTATAAATTATTACTATATAATCCCTGCATATTTTGACTGACAGGAGTTTGGGACAGTGATTAGAAGCAGGAACCAACTCCCACAGAGGGCTTTTGCTGAGTGATCTCTGGATCTTTGCCATTTTTGAGTGGATTGGGATAAAAAGAGTAAAAATGTTGTAATACCTCTAAAAATATGTCAGTGGCTTGACATAGCAGGAATTCACCAGGCCTGTTTTGTGGAGACAGTATAAACTTGATGAAAAAAATTTGCAACTTTCAATTTGGTTTGTGAGACCAAACAATTTTAATAGAATTTTAGAAATGTCTTTTAACTGAAGAACCCCATAAATACAGATGCCAGTAAAGGTTAATTAATACTGAGGCACTAATCTGTATCTCTCTATGTATCTACAGACACATATGTATATGTATATATATATAGATAATGCATACACACATCTCTATGTTATTTGTCTCAAAGAAGTAGAATTATAAACTGTAAAGGGATAGGCTGGTTTTCTGTTATCTGAGTTTACCAGATTATTACATTTTTTGAGACTAGATATAATGAGAAGCACCCCCAAAAATATTACCTTTCCAACCCCATTAGAAAAATGTCATACTATGTAAAAATTAAATAATCCTCAAATGCTTCAAAAACAAAAACTTCAATGTTCTCAGGTCTCTTGGTAGAGCCTCCCTGAAGAAAATAATTTTATACTAAGAACACATATGAATAACTGTGTTGTAAATCTACTTAAAATACAAAGGTAGCAGACAGACCTGTCACAGGCAAAGAAACAAAAACGAACATATGGGGTCTAATGCTGGAAAAGGGAATTAAGAGCCGGGGTCCATATTAACTCAGGGCTTAATAAATCTTGATTGTTCCCATGCAACAAAAAAGGATACAATTACATCATTATCTTGTGTTTTCTAAGGGCTTTAAGTGTCTAGAGGGTAGGTTTACTATAGGGATCAAAACATTGCCTTTTCTCAGGCACTGACTTACTAAAATGTAGCCAGATGCAGCTTTATTAAAAAGAAAAACTTCTTGTATAGTTAATAGATTTTTAAATGTGCTTTAAATGAATTTGTTTACAATGGTGAAAGTTTGTTTCTTTATTTTGCTTTGACTTTGTAACTAGCACTATTGAATTATGATGTGTTATTTCCAAGATGGACTAGCAAATACCAGAGATTTCATTCAGCAGATATATCAGTAGTGATTTTCATATATGCGTGTGTTCTGTAAAGTTTATATGGCCACAATTCATAGAATAAATGACTTCTGGAAGAATAAAGGAAAGCTTGATTCGCTGCATAACAAATTGAGGTGCATAATGATTCCAGGTTTCTTCTTTAATGAAGCAATGTGAACTTCCTAAAATGGAGATGCAAACAATTCTGAATTCTGGGAAAATATTTATTATGGCACTATTAACTTGCTTAACATTTTATCAAAATATAAAAAGTATTGGGATGAAACATTGCACGCTATAAGCTTAGTACATCTTTATAAGCTACAGTCATTTACAGACTAAATATGGTTTATGCCAAATATTTTTGCAGCTTACTTTTTTCAAAAGAGCAAAGTCATTTGTGAAGATTCTTTCCATGCTTCAGTAAGTTTTAATAATATAGCAATAAACAAAGTGGCATGCTTATATTTCAATTCCTATTATATTTAAAATAACAAATCTCATGTTACAAGGTATAATTTTATTTAAGAAAATAATAATTTAGATTCTTTTCTTGGGCCAAGAAAAAATGTCAATTGATAAGCATCTCAAAAAATTTCAGGTCAATTTTTCTGTACATTATTTATTTGAAATGCTACCAATCCATTAACTACATAGAGATATTTTTTTTTTTACATGTGCAACTATAAGAGCTAGAATTAGCAAGGGACATGCCATTTCACTAAAACAAAAACAAAAACAAAACAAAATCAGTCCTTTCATGCTGAACTCTAGAACAAAGCAGTGGTCAGCTGGAAAGGATGTACAATAAATACATGCGGTGCTTTGTATTTCTTGCAGAAAAAACCCACCAAAGCCAGGGTCAGGTCACTTTTTTGAAGACAGTGCCACTTTTTCTTCAAGGTTACACCTACTACCTGAAAAGAGTCACGACACACCCATGTTAGTGCCCGCCAGCAACGTTTTTCTTCACAGACTTTTGGCTCTTGAGATAACACCCCATAAGCCTCAGCGTCTTACAAGTGCAGTACAGTCTGAGGACAGAACGGGAAGATGTGCCACAATGACATCTCCATGGTACCAGATACAGCGTCTAAAACCACCGCTACATCAAGCGAATACTCTCGTGTCAATGCAAGATCTCCCCAAACCAAACGCCTCCTCCACCTGGTATCGTAAAATCAAGCTGTGTTATTTCTGGCTTGTGCACTTATCTCGTGGGATAATGCTTCCAGAAATCAGAAGCTGACTGATAATTGGCTTGGCAATTCATGAAACTTTACAAATTTGCTCATCAGCAGCTCTGCGGGGTGATGGCAATATACCTGTGCAAATTTCTTTCTTTTTTGAAGGCAGTAGCTGAAAACATTGTGAGATACATATGTAACTGTTCAGACTTCAAGCTCAATTTTCAAAACAGAACCACACCAAAGGGTCAGTTTTCACCTATTATGTGAGACAACATGAAGACAGCAAAAATAAAATATACACTGAATATGCATTCAAGCATATAAGCGGTTTATAAACATTCGATAACATTAAGTCTATATGCTTCTATGCCACTCAGCAACAATGGAAAAGAATAGGGATATTTTAGAAGTTGATTATCATATTGTGGCATCCTCCAGCAATGATTTCAGCCTATTTCTTTTCAAGTAATATTTCAGAATCACTTTTTCCCACTTCCTTGTTCAATTTCTTAAAATATTTTTGACTGGAAAAACAGTATCAGCATTAAGGGGAAACTTATTTTTCTCGAGGCTTTCTTGTGGAAGATTATTTGATTTGATTTGATTTTTATTTCTTCTGTCATTTGTTTCTTCACTTAGGAAACAGAATGACAGCTTTCCTAACAAGTAATAATTCTAGAGAATAACCTCTTTATTAAGTTCGATTATAAGAGCAGGCACAAATGAATGAAACACAGGGCATCCAGCAGTGCCGTTCAGGTTTATTAAGAAATTAATCACGGTCCACTTCTTTCCTTTTTAAAAATAGAGAACATAAGAAACAGCACACACAATACGGGACATCACAGGACCCTCTCCGGCTGGACACCAGGCTGTGGAGCACTGGCTATCTTCAGATGAGAAGGGGTTGGGCCCATGTCACAGGGAAGGGGCTCAACTATTTCAAAAAACCACCACATGTGGGGCAGTCTGCCAAATGTTTGACATAATTTCATTAGTTTGATCTCATGATAACTCTGTGGGGTAGATATTATCTTCCGTATAGTGGAGGGCACTGAAGCCCAGAGACAGTGTGATGTGGCCACAGCTTCAAAGCCATTCTGTGGCCGAGCCACGACAGGGACCAGCCCAGCTTACCAGGCCTTCCTGCTCTGTCTCTACCACACCAGTGTCTGTGTATGTGGCTTGGGAGGCTGCAGGCCTCAAGCACCTGGGCTCATGTCGGTGGTTCATGATCTCGCTGAAATTTGGGGCAGCAGCCACTTCTCACTATCATCACACAGACTGGCTCTAAGCACACATTCTCTGAGAAAGTACTTCTTTCTCTGGTCTGGAACGGTCAGTAACTGCTCTCACAAGCACATTTCTAACAAAATGCTTTCGCTGCTTTCACCCTCACAGAAAAGTAACGTAAGTATTTCATATATGTACAAACTTCTTTGTTACTCTATAGATCTTAGTAGGTTTATAAGCTTTAGCACCTCTCTAATTCTTATTAAATGCTAACTAAATGCCATTAAATGCCACCTTTACTAAGACTTTCCTGAGATCCGCTGTGGTACATAAAATACTTGAAGTATGCAATTCCAGTTATACAGGCCAATGGTAAGCAGTTTTCTACTTGTAGATTCTATTACTGCTATCATGGAATTTGTAACTTAAAAATTATTTTCATTATTTTTAAACTATCAACAACTATCCAGAGTTTCTCCATCAGAGACATTAAACAGAAGAAATTGAGGTACGTTAGATTAGGGGAAAAGTAAGACTATAATACCAGAAGACATCTCTGCCAACCCAAAATCATCTAACCTATGAATTTTTAAAATAGCCTTCCTTTTATTCTGATTATAAAATTAACATACTATTGCCAAAAATTGATAAAAAACAGAGCCAAGAAAATAAAAGTAACAATCCTAATATTTTCATGAATTAAAAAAATTTAGTTTATAATACCAGCAGTTAATTTTTTAGGTTAAATGTTTTAAGGATAGACCTGCTACTATAAAGTCTACAAGTATGAATATATTAAATATATTTCTTTATATATACACACATGTAAACAAACTCCTGGTATCTATATATTTTTGTTTGTTTATTTTTGAGACAGTGTCTCACTCTGTCACCCAGGCTGGAGTGCAGTGGTGTGATCAGCTTCAACCTCCTGGGCTCAAGTGATCCTCCCACCTCAGCCTCCTAAGTAGCTGAGACTACAGGTGTGTGCCACCACACTCTGCTAATTAAAACTTTTTTTTTTTTTTTTTTTTTTTAAGAAATGGAGACTCACTATGTTTCCTAGGCTGGTCTCAAACTCCTGGGCTCAAGCAATCTTCCTTCCCACCTTAGCCTCCCAAAGTTTTGGGATTACAGGTGTGAGTCACTGTACCTGGTACAGTCATTAGTTTTGCACATACTAAAAAATTCTGGACCCTGGATGATTAGCACCTGTAAAAAACTGCCCAGTGAAAGTGTAATTTTTGATGGCTGTTCTTGTCTCTCATGCACAGAAGCAGGATAACCTACCTGCGTTCCCCTGGTGAGCTAAATTTCAGAGTAAGTGTCAATTGTCATACTCTCTTCAAACTCCCAACACAGGAAAAGGCCAGGGCCATCTTTTACAGTGTCCTTTCCCAGTAAAGTGTGTTCCTGTAGAATTCCACCAGCACAGATTAGGGTTCAGGCTATCTTGGTTCTATCTTAACCATTCCTGTCCCAACAGAATGTTTTGTAAGTTTTAAAAGTGGTACCAATAGCTAAATCTTGACATACCGGTCAATCCTTGTTTCTAAACATTCTGAAAGAAGCACAGATCTAGGTGTAAATCATTGGGAAGCATGGACAGAATGTGCTTTTCTTAAATAGAGATTCACCTGTGGAATTTACAGTCCAAGATGAATTCACCATTGGTTCAGTAATCTGTTTGCAGCTGGAAAACGTGATTTACAATTCCTTCCTAAGGGTAGTCAAGTTGCAGCAAAGAAACTGGTGTCTATCTATTTAAAATAATGACAGCCGGGCGCGGTGGCTCAAACCTGTAATCCCAGCACTTTGGGAGGCCGAGGCGGGTGGATCACGAGGTCAACAGATCGAGACCATCCTGGTCAACATGGTGAAAACCCGTCTCTACTAAAAATTACAAAAAATTAGCGGGGCACGGTGGCGCGTGCCTGTAATCCCAGCTACTCAGGAGGCTGAGGCAGGAGAATTGCCTGAACCCAGGGGGCGGAGGTTGCAGTGAGCCGAGATTGTGCCATTGCACTCCAGCCTCGGTAACAAGAGTGAAACTCCGTCTCAAAAAAAAAAAAAAAAAAAAAAAAAAAAAAAAATAATGACACAGGACATTGAAAAGAAAAACTTCCGTCCCACCTTGTATTTCCCTCTTACTGTCTCTTTTTCCCTCCAGCATTGTTTTCTCCATGAAACAGGTGCACATTTTTTCAGCCCTCATCTTTTGTAGGAAGTCTTCTGGGATTAATGAGGAGTTACACTAATTACATTCTGTTATATAACTCCTGTACCTTCCGTTTATGTTATGTGTTAATTGGCACTATTTGTTTTACCGAGAATGTGATTAGGTGGGGGAATGTAATGGGGTGGGGAAGGGGCAGGTGGGAGAACAACATGGGTACCAATCTCCACAGTCTTTTACTCTAAGCCTCCACTTATGAACATTACTGGGACCCCATGCGCACCAGATACATACTCACTTTCCTAGGTCTGACTGATCGGAGCAGCGTGAGATTATGACTTTCATGGGCCCTACGCACTTTTGGCTTCATGAGATATTTCCTTAAAAAAATCATATTCTAGTGCTACATTGGTATAAAGACAAAAATAATCCAGACAGTATCCATTATTGCACATTAATTGTTACAAAATAGTCCATTTTGGGGGGTTCTGATTTTAAGAGAGAGTGATGTTAAATCATTTTCATGGGTCCTTAAAAGCACTGTGGGCCCTATGCACTATGTCTACTCTGCCAAGTGGGTAAACTAGCTCTTCCCCTTCTGGGCGGGGGGGGGCGTCTCCTCAACAGTCGGTGTGCTGTCCTGATGGCTGCTGTGCTGTCCCTGGTGTGACCGCCCTGGCTGTCGGGTGATCGATGCTGCTTCCACATTCTGCATGCCCATGATGGCTGTTCCTGCCCTAACAGCCCCTGGCTACTGTGGTTGGTCTCACTGTTTTTGTTAAGGGAATCTTTCCTAACAGTACTCACAAGCCTTTGAAAAAAGATGTTTTAAAGTGACAAACAATAATTGCATGTGCTCAAACAAGCAGCTTTCATCTTGTCATTCTCAAAACACGCTCTAAAAGCCTGGAGCATCTAGACCCGAGGCAGAAAGCACCAGCAAGTAATATCCACGGTTACTCTCAAGATGTAACCTCTCCACCAGAAAACAGGCCTCAGCCTGCCTCAGAGGGGACTCCTGACCATCCAGGAGCACTTCTGAGGAAAGTTTGTTGCTGTTAAAAATTTAGTCTATTAGTCTTTAATAACCAGAGTCACTGATTGGCTCCAAAGTACTTCCTGACATTTTTTTTTTTCCTGATTATGCAGTTGGTCACTTGAGGAACAGAACTGTCCAATACCCAAAACTTCTGAGTTGTGCCTATAGGCTAAGCTCCTCCTTGGGACCTTGTTATTATCTTGTATTTTGTAAACAATGCCTTGGCTGTGTCTCACTAATAAAACTGCCTGGTGAGAGCAAAGGTTGTGGGAATATCTT